AGGAATATGTGGATTCTGTAATGTTAATAATGTACGTAACATCAAACCAACTTGTGAGTGACGGAAAGCCATAAAATTGAAGTACAAAATACTCGCTCGCCATGTCATAATTGTCCTTAGGTTTCCAAGCAGTATACATAACACATGACTGGCGAGCGATGACGTAACGTGCTGACTGCGCGTTCTGGTATGAGCCAACTACATAAGCACGGCTAGGGAGTATCATCGCACTCAAGGACAAACATAGATAAGGGCTCTCAGCTGAGAGGTACAGCGAGGTACAGTGCTTGGACCTGCCAGAAGACCACACTTTTCTTGGGCCATTATCTCCGTAACCGTTCAACTTTGGACATAGGTGTTTTGGGTTATATCGGCATACTTTAACATAAGGAACACCCTCCCGAAGTTTGGCACATTCCTCCTGGGACACCCTGTATAGTCATGGGACCCAGTGGGGCCCGATACCACAAGTAACCGTGCTGGCTGGTTAACAGCAGCAAGCTTATGCTTCTGGTATTACTGTATATACTCATCTGTGTTGTCATGCGTGGTAATTTAACAATTTCTCTATTTGTATGGTTGCTAGATTTCCTTTTTACAAAATGTGAGATTAATTAATGACTGTTATGTCTTGATTTGTCATTAGGCCCTTACTACATCTGTGAAGTTGGTGAACTTTATATTTTTTTCTTTATTTCCATGAGTGTATTTGGTTTTATGCTTCTGTAAGTGTCTTATTTTATAGAAATCTGTTAAGCGCAACTCATGATTAAGTACTGTGTATGTAGCTTGTGTGTTAGGCTACAGAAAGTGCATGGGGCATCATGTATGGTGGGGGGAGGGAATGAAAAGAGTAGTGCCCATGCAATTTGCAAATGTTATTTCTTCTGGTAACAGCCCAAAGAATCATCGTGGTTGACATCAAACCTCATCATTAGATGTGATTCTGAGTTAATTTGCAAAGAATTAAAATACCTATATGCATTGTTCAGATTTCCTTAATCTCAAACTTTCTTTACTCCTAATCCTCATTCTTCATATTCATCAATATTCCTCGCTCTGCTCGAGTACAAAGAAAAACACACACAGATATTCAGAAAGTGGCCAGGCAATCACGTGAGACCACCAGCAGACTCAACTTTAAGAACAAATTTATAGTGTTAAAGCCACAGAAACATATACATAAACTGAAACACCACTAACTTAAGAACTCTCATATATCATGCACTTTTGCATAAACTAGAATACGTACAAGGGTTGTCCAGAAATTAATGACCACTAGCACATGCATTACTTGCTGACTTTGCCTGGAATGTTTTTTTCCATTCATCCAACAGTCTGGACTTGGCTCAAAGTGATTTTAAGTTGTTCACACACTTGAAGCATTTTTTGGGTTGCACACACATGGTACCGATGAAGAAGTGAAGAAGACTGTTAAAGACTGGTTCAGTGGACTGACGGCAGATTTCACAGTACAGGCATACAGAAACTCATCACATGATATGACAAATGCCAAAATTTTCATGGGGATTATGTAGAAAAATGATTTAAGGTCCGTAGTAGTGATTTAAAATAGCATTTTCTAGTTTTATTTACTTATATTTTAATCACCAAATGGTCTTCGCTTTCTGGACGACGTACGTATAACCTAAGAAATGTGGAGCTTACATATTGAGTGACGCAAGTAACGTTAAAACTTTACTGCCGTGTTGTCCGATGTGTTAGTACTGCTACCCGTGGAAGTGCGTTTATGAAAACAAAATCTGAAACCTAACTTTAGAAGGTTTTTGGGCATTTATTTTTACACACAAAGGCCTAATCATTTCAAGTGGAACCAACAGAAAAACAGTTTAGCATTGTAGTTCTTGGAGGAAAATTCTAAGATAGTGTTGTATCCTGAGGGATGGTGATGGGATATTCGTGTAGACTGAGCAGTTAGTCTGTGATTTGGGATTTTTGGAACACTTAAGAACTGAAATTAAAGTCGTCAGAAGTCATCATTGAGGATTATATGATAAATATATTGAATGATATAATTATACAAGGTTCCAGTAGGAGTAATATCAAGTGCAGGTATAGATTAAATGGTGAACAAGTAGGGAGACGTGAATGCCCTATGCAATAGGATTCGGCAAGTAGCAAGGGATAGCCTCAAAGGTGTTAAGCATAACTCTCGATAATTAACTGAAGTCCTCTGGGCGCACACAAAGTGCAAGAGTTGGGTGCAATGTAACCAGCTAACTCATGGAGCTGAGCCCTTCTTGAGAAGCCACCAGTTGTGCAATTTCTCAAGAACTTCCCAACATTTACTGGAATCCAGAAGTTTATTACAGTGTTCACAAGAGCCCTCCGCTGATCACCAGCTTTCATTTGTGTGTTCTCCAGAGAATGCTGATGCTGTCAGAGTGGTGCTTCAAAGAAGCCCCAATAAATCAACAAGGAAGGCTGCAGCACAACTAGGAATATTCAGATGATCAGTACAATGAATACTGAAAAGTGATTTGAATTTGTATACATGCAAAATGGCGGCAGTGTTGCCTAAACTTAAGTTCAAAACAAACATAGAGAAATTTGATGAATGGGCTCAAAATAATGGGGTATCATTCAGCAGTGTTTGGTTTTCTGATGAAGCACATTTCCACTTGGATGGTGTGGTTAATAAATGAAATGTGCAATTTTGGGTGTCTGAGAACTCATGTATGATTTATTAGAAGGTGCATCATGCACTGAGAATTATAGTGTGGGTCACCATCTCAAGTCATGGACTGCTAGGGCCAATTTTTTTTGAAGAGACAGTGAACAGTGAGCGCTATTTAAGCATACTGTGCAATACTTTTGTACTTCTTGCTACAGGTTTGCTGTTAGAAACACAGTGGTTCATAAAGGATGGAGCCAAGCTCCATGCAGCAAATGTTGTTTTGGACTTTCTACATGACACTTTCGACTCGTGTCGGACCAAATGCAGGACAGGCCCTCAGCTGTCTACTTTTCTCTTAATGACCATTCAGGAGCTGGTAGCTGGGAGCTACCTAAATGTTAGAAGTCTCGGCTGGGGGAAGAGGGAGGTTAATTACAGTTGGAGTCAGGAAAAAGTGAGGCAGGCAGTTATAGTGGAGTGACAAGGGAGTTACAGTTGGATGTAGACAGTGAGTAGTGAATGGGCAGTGAGATTTGAGTTCTTTGCTGGGAGTTGAAAAGCAATAACAACAACGGGAGTGTAATCGGTGAGGTGCAGGCTTAAAGGAGGATTAGTATATCGGGCCACTAATCACTGTACTCATCATTTAACTAACGCTAGTTACGTTCTGGTGATCCTGTGATTGATAACTCCAAAAGTGCATTCCCATCCCGATCACTGTGCCACCTGTATCCCTGGGAAAAAGATCTTGTATCTAGTTATAGTTATGGCATAAATCTTATCAATGCTACTGGCATCTGCGCCTTGTCCGGAGGCCGCTATCTTTGGGATGGCGGTCAGCCGCAATGCCTTAAACGGACATTTTAGAATTAATAAGTAGGGTTGCCAATGGTGCATCGTACATGCTCACATCTTGTAAAATAAGACAGGGTTGAATACATGTTATACTTTCTCCCTTACAAAAAAATTTGGGCAATGATTTGCTTTCTTACACAATAATAAATTAACTTCTGTGTATGAGTGATACTCATGCGAAGCATTTGCCCTCTTAATGGCTAGGTCATTACGAGAGTTACTTAACATTCATCCCTTGCAATGTCGTGCTTATTCATATCTGTGTAAAACCAGTTGATTAAATGACACACAGAATTACGTAGTATTAACACTTGCAAGTATAAGTGTGGTGTTTACACAATTACAGAATTTCATTATGTTAAAATCAGTGCTGCAAAACGTTACCATGTGCTAATG